CTCCAAACACGCAACTATACTTTACACCACTTCTCAGATTTAAATGCAAAAATGCTGCCTGAAAACCTTGTTTACACCTAGCAGTCTGCTGTAGATATACCTTAAAAGATTTACCTTGTATGACTTACAGATGATTTAGACTGACAGCTTGAGATTTTACTGAAAGAATTTGTTTCGCAAGTAGGCAGAGATGCATCATGCCTGCCCAAAAGCAGCAAGAGAAGAAAAGTCATTAATCAAACAGTTATTACACTTCTGGCAATGCTAACTAAAGCTCAAGAGGAGTTCATTTAAGGATTTTTAAAAGCCCTCCTTACCCATAAAAAAAAAAAAAAAAAAAAAAAAGAACAGGCATGGTTTAATATCCCTGATTGTTAATTACTGAGGGAAGCACTTTCTTTCCTTATTGGTAAACACTATACTCTGGATGTCCCGTCACTGCAAAAGTTAATGCTTGTATTCTCCTCCAAAAACTTCAGGTTACTGGACAATTCAAAAATACGTATTTTATAGCAAGGGTGACTAACCTCTGAAAGCCAGGTGAATAAAATGTCAAAGAATCATACGTTATGCACACTGTGCTGTGCCTTCCTCCAAAAACCTTCTTCCACACTTTGACACTGTATATTCACCCCACGTCACCAGCTTTTGCCAACAAAGTCACCTTCCAACCGAATCTCCTACCCTGAACTGGTTTCTCCACCTCCGTCTAAGGGCTACTTTAATTTTTGAACTATTTTTCTAACTTTTTTCTAAAAGCTACTTGGATTTCTAATTGCTATGCAAATTTCCAAAGCAGCGTGAGGATCAGGAGACACCTGTAAGCTGCTCCATCTTGATAGCATCATCATCCAAAAAAAAAAAAAAATCAGGTGAAACCGTATGTAAAATTATAGTTTCTGATCGTGCCTTTTTAACGCAGCTGGCTGGGATGTACCTGGCAGGAGCGGGAGGCAGCACGAGGGCCGTTTCCGCAGGCGGGGCTGCAGAAGGCGGCCGCACGGCCGCGGCGGTGGGCAGGGGGAGCTCAGAGGTCTGCGTGGCCACAGGGCACTTCGCGGGGAGAGGAGGCCCTTTATCAGCTGTCAAAAAGCTTGCTGCATCTGGAGCAGGCAACTCCACAGTTGTTTTCCTAGTTGACATTAATTTCACAAGTAATTATAACAAGACAACATACGGAGAAGAAATCTCTCATTTGACTAAAAATACCAAACAGTAATGGACATCTCTTTCTTAGCTGGTGTTCTTGCATCTTTCGTAAGGAGAAAAGTGAGTAGCACGTGAGGGCTTTTTTTTTTTTTTTTTTTTCTTCCCTAGGAACCAAATACTCATCCACTAGGAATCAGACCATGCTGAAACCGGTTCTTTGGGGCATTTTTACAGCTGAAGCTTGAGACCTTAGAACCAGGCTTGTTTAACCACAAAACCAAACTATTTGGGTAGTTTAAAGTAGTTGCTCAAAAAATAGACAACAAACTTGAATGAGAGCACAACCAGTATATTAGAAACTCTACCTAGTGTAAGTAGATGACACTTTCGACACTGTGGCTACTTGGCTGTTGGTATTTAAAACCTGAACAATTGCAGGGGGATGAGATGCGCACTTGGGTAAGGCTTCCAAAGGGTTCTCAAACAAAAGTTCTCTGAAGTAAAAGAAAGCAGAAGGACAAACAGCATTCACCACAGGAAAGCAGTATTTTTCCCCCATGTTTTACTTCCTCTTGCTTGTCACCAAACCAAGACAACCATAAAAGATCTGACAGTTTTAGTTCAGTCAGTCTGAGGCCTCCTCTTCTCCCCAACCTGATACTCATTTGCCAATTAAATGAGCGACTCCTGTCTTTGCAAATTCCCTTTTGCATGATAAGTACAACCGAGGGAAGTTGTTTAGGAAAATTCATGTAGAAATGTCAAACCTGCCAAAAAGGAGATCTGGCTGAGCTGAGGAGGGTACAGCAGCAGTTACAACAATTCATGACAAAACAGGGATATGCACAGATTATACCCTTTCCTGGAGTTGCCCTCAAGTTCTCCAAAACTTCATATAGCATCTTTGTGAAGCTTTATAAGTCATAAAAGGGGCCTTGAAGAAGGCGAGAAGGGGAATAAATCACACTAGGTATATGCTCCAAAGGGAGAGCAAGCTGATTCCAAACTTATTCATACATAAAAACATACATACATACTCATTGTATTTCCATTTTTCACTTGCTTTGGCAGTAGCTAGAAAAGGAGTAAGAAATTACTCTCAGAGATTACTATTTCTGCAGAGAATATTCTTGGCTGTCCACTAATCAGAAAGTACACAGCAAAAATCAGGATTAATACCTACTATTTAATACTAAGTCTTTGTATTTATGACTATCAGGGGTAATTCCATTAAAAGAAAAGGTAAAAGTAGGTCTGTATGACTGTAAAAAGCATGTATATAAAAGAGTAATCTAAAGACTTGCTGGCACCGGATCTGCTTTATATTATTTATGTATTTCTCGGAAAGTGCCAGATTCTGTGGTTTACATGGTCTAAAGTTGCCAGGATGACTTTTTAAGATGACTTTTTGCAACTTTTTGGAAAGGCTGTAATTACTCTTAAATATTTTACTGTTGAACTTATAGGAGGACATTGCATATATAAAACTGTGTAATAATACACTATAAATTACAGTAGTTGGCTATATTGCCATATGACTAGTTTAGGCTTTCGATAAAGAACTAAAACTACAATAAAAAAGCATTATGCTTTATATTATGAAGTCTGCCTTATAAACAGCAAACCTAACTTTAATCAAGAAATCAAATCCAGATCCTTCACACATTTCACAAACTTTCTCCTTCTTGGTGGTTCA